AGAACAATTATGGAAATACAGCTTTCTTTTGTGCAGCTGTATCAGGGGATGTAGAAATTGCAAAGGTCGTGTACGAAAAATATAATACTCTGCCAACAATTCGAAACCGCTTCGGCATAAGCCCAATTCAAGAGGCAGCTGCGCTGGGAAACAAAAAAAATAGTTGAATATCTTTACGAAATTACACCTCTTCAACATTTCGAGGATGAGGAGCGGCAAGAATGTTCGTTCCAGTGTTGATAGTTGCAGCAAGAATGTTCATGCGCTCCTCATCCTCGAAATGTTTAAGAGGTGTAATTTCGTAAAGATATTCAATCATTTTTTTGTTTCCCAGCGCAGCTGCCTCTTGAATTGGGCTTATGCCGAAGCGGTTTCGAATTGTTGGCAGAGTATTATATTTTTCGTACACGACCTTGGCAATTTCTACATCCCCTGATACAGCTGCACAAAAGAAAGCTGTATTTCCATAATTGTTCTTAATTTCCAAGTCTCCTTCGTCCAAGTATTTGACTAGCATGTGGGCAATTGCAGTTTGCTTGGTGAGAGCAGCTAGGTGAAGAGGCGTATCTTCTACTTTTGTTATCGAAAGACAAGCTGCACTTTTGTCCAATCTCAGAACAGGTTCAGCAGCGTTCCAATCTCCACTTAAAACAGCTTTATATAATATTAAAAGGCGACCTTCCTTTTCACCCCCTGATGTTGTTTTCAGATATGTGTTGAAAGTAGAAGATGCTCCACATATTAAACCAAATCCACTCACATATTCATATTTACTAGCACATCAACTTTACATTGTAGGTTGTTAAAAACTCATCTCATTACTGTTGTAATTTGTTCAAATCATAACAAGGGACGAGGGTTGTTAATGATGATTTTTGGATTCGTGAAAAATTGGATGAAATAAAATTACGTAGAACCAAAATGAAACTTTTCCCTCCCTTATTACTAGGCTTTGATGTCATATTTGTTTAACGTGCTTCGGACGTGGCTGTCTACATAAATAACATAGGCACACCACTACAGAATTGTGGCTCGTCGTCGGATAAAGTACACTTACCCTATATTTGATCAACTCTGTAAAATAAAAGAAAATCAGAAACTTACATCGTCGTCGTTGAGCATTCGCATTGGAAATTGGATCTTCAACTTGGCTATGCATGCTTGGTAACGGTTGGTGTGGCTGTAGAAAATTAATTACACGAACCTTTTTAGAACAATTGAAATGTCGACAGTAAGAATGCTTAGCCCCTACTTGGTAGGGATTAAAACAGTTTTTTTTTATTTTACTGACAAGTTTATAATAGAAATAGGGATTTTTGCTAGTGTCACTCAACATGCGCCCTCGGACTGCCGAGCCAAAAGAGGCTGTAACACCCCGAAAATTTTAGAATAAAATTTTGTATTTTTATGATTTTGAAAGTTGAAGGACTAAAATAAAGTATGTTTTAAAGTTCTTATGTTTTAAATGGGTCAAATATTTAACTTTTTATAGAATGACCTAAAGTATATCAATATTGGGCTCATTTTATAGCTCGCATTAAATAACGTAAATTGGGCTCTAGAAAATGTAAGTTCATA